TATAAATCCAATCTCATCTTCTTCTTCTTCTTCTTCTTCTTCTTCCTCCTTCTTCTTCTTCTTCTATTCTTGGTGCTTGGGAGGGGGAGAAACAGTGGGAGGGCTTCTAGTGTCCTGGCCCCACTGGTGGACCTCCTGACGGCACCTGGTATCTTTGGCCACTGTGTGATACAGAGTGTTGGACTGGATGGGCCATTGGCCTGATCCAGCATTGGCTTCTCTTATGTTCTTATGTTCTTAAGCAGGGTGGGCACTCGTTAGAACTTGTGTGGGCTGCTGCCACCAAGGAAGTCCAGGGTTGCTACACAGAGGCAGGCAACGACAAACCACCTCCGAAGGTCTCTTGCCTTGTTGGCTTAGACTTGACAGCACTTTCCACCACCGATAGTAAACGTTACATTTTTATACAGACCTTGAAAAATCGCTGTTTTTGTAAGTCTCGTCAATTGGCCTAAGAGTGGACTAATTTGTATCTTTTAAGCAACTTCTGGTACTGGATTCTGAAAGCACTTGAAGGCCTTAGGATATTTCAGAAGATGTGTTCATAATACTTGTTTTTGATCATAAGAGTAGTAAGTAGAACATGTGTCTTTCTGTAATAGTATGCTATACATTTAGTAGTAATGGCATATTTTATGCATCTGTATCTTCAACCACATTCATGGTATTTATAATTAACGGGTTTGATCCCATTAGGAGTTAGCATAAGAGAAATTCCCTGAATAGCCAGAGCAAACAGGGACCCAGTTTTGCCCAAGCGTACCTCTATACTCTCGTGAACTTCAACAAGAGCCAGTGAGGTTAGGGCATTGCACTGGGGAAGGTCAGGTCCTCATTCACTCTCAGCTGTGCTGCGCACAAGGCGATTCTGGGTGAGAGTCTCGGCTTAACCTGTCTCATGGGGGTGCTGTGAGAAAAGGAGGAACCATACAGGCTTCTCTGACCCCTTGGGAGAAAAAGTGGGGGAATGTTACTCATAATTTCACAGCCTAAAAATAAACAAAACACAGCCTTTCCCCTGCTTAAAACATCAGGTTCCAGGCTCTGTGCACTCAGCTACTGGAAATCATAGAATCAGAAAGGACTTTCTAAATCGTTTAGTCCTGCTCTCTGCTCAGTGGAAGAAAGCCAAAGCTGCAGCATTCCTGAGAGGTGGCTGACCAGCCTCTGCTTGTAGACCTCCAGCCCATCACTCCCAGTCCTGACACATGTCTGCAACTTCAGAAATGCCAACTTTGGTTTCTAATGGTATTTTATTTTTCTGCAAGCTGTAAATCAATGACAAGCAATTGATTAGTTTACCCTGAAATGGACTCCAAAACTAGTCTTACATTGCTGTTGAAGGATATGCCAAGTCTGCTCCCTGATATCTACCCTTTTTATTAGACTGCCTGATGTATTTGGAGAAGCACACTTTTCCCCATGAGACCTCTGCATAAATCTTTCAGGAGCTGCAGGATCCGCTCTAGATTTTTCTGCAGCAGGCATGTGGCTACCAGTCTGCAATCCTGCCCTCAGATCACGCAGAAGAACAAACTAATTGTTGAGGTGACCAAAAGGCCAAGAAAAGCAGGGCCTGGAACACGGGGGGGGGGGGGTCGGAGCCTGTTGTCTCTTCTCCTCAGGGCTGCTTGGGGAAAATCCCTCCCTCTCCTTAGATTAAAGTCCAGGGCCACCTTGAAGAACAGCAAAGTTTTATTCAATTTATCAGCTTTCATGTGCACATATAGGTCAAGTGTGAGCAGCAAATTAGCATACAGCTTAATAACATTGTTTGACAGATGCAAGGACCAAACTGGTATAACAAGCTTTGTTTATATAGGTTTGTTAGGGTTTAGTCTTGGGGGAAACATAGTGAAGGAAATAAATATATCAGAATCAAAGATGTTGCAGGTGGCCGTGTCCCTGAGCCCCATTCACCGTCCTCGAGACAAGATGCTCACAGGGCAGGGCCAAACCCCTCCCATGAGTCACCTGCCCTGTTGCAGGCGGCCTCATCCCTGGGCCACCTTAACTCTTCATAGAAAAAGTGATTGCAGGGTATGACCAACCCCCCTCCTCCTCCCCTGGGCTATGAGACAAATAAGACCCAGACCTGACAGCATTAAAACTTGACGGAAGAAATGGTGGTGGTGGCTTGGGGACTCAAGATAAAGAAAAACCAGACTCGACAGTGGTGAACTGTGGAAAGAAGAGGAGACCTGAACACAGAAACTAGCAGTGATGGGTATGGTGGTTTAAAGACCTGAGTCCATCACAGGTGAGCCCGACCTCACACTGTTCCACAATGACTGTCGACCATCCTGCCAGCGAGGTGAGTGAGAAGCTGCCTCAAAGCTCTGGGTCCACCCAACACCCAATTCCCAACAGGAATGGCCCACACCCGCTGCCAACGTCCTGTTCCTGGGATGGGTTGGCCATGCACAGCAATCATCTTGCCAGTGAACAAAGGGAAGGCCCTTTCGGTCTCCAGGGTGCCATACGTCATGCCCCCTCCCCCGGCTCTGACTTGCAGCTGGTATAAGAAGGGTGCGGTCCAACATTGGTTTCTCTTATGTTCTTGTGTTCATTGCTAAGAAACACTCAGAAGAGCTGGCCTCAGGCTTCACTGGCCACTGAAGTAACTGGAACAATGTTCTGCAAGGATCTTTCAGACAGAGGGTGGTCTTCGGCAGCCAGTTCTCCCACTGCTGCCCTAAAGCCCTTCCACCATGGAATGGTGGTGACGACAGCTGGGTCAGGGGGCAGCTGGTGATCCCCTGGCACTGCTCAGCCAGGCACCTGGCCACATAAGTGCTGTGCCACACAGGGGGGAGGCATCCATCCTGGTCTGGATAGGCATGGCCACATGGCCAGACTCCAAGGCATTCCACAAGGAAGGCACCCATCCTGGCCCTCTCTCCCACAGGCCCCCATCCTTGCGTTTCCCCCAGGGCCCCAGCGTCACGAAGACTGCCTTTGTTTGTCAGAACATGAGACTAGGATTTGTGAGGCCTGCGTTCAGGTCCCCATACTGACATGATGCAGGGGCGGTTGCTCTTTCTCTCAGAGTGATCTACCTGCAGAATGATTGTTTGAGGAAGATGAAGGACCACATGCACTGTGCTGAACTCTTGGGAATAAGGCTGGGCTAAAATGTACTTGGTAGACAGTTTTGTGTATCTCAGCTGAGAATGAGGTTCTTTCAGAGGAAGACGGAGCAGACAGCTTCTTTTAATCAAGATGCCTTTCTGACAAGTAATTTTTTTGCAAGACTCATACCAATGAGCCCAATAATCTTTAGCTGGCAAATTTATTAAAAATCTTAACTGTGTTTGATCAGAGAGAAAGAGACACCAAACATACACAGAACCTACAGTTAACACTCAGTTTCACAGGTCATGATATACATATGGTTTTTCCTTTCTTCAAATCAGTTTTCACTATAGTCTGCTATGAAAACACACAAATGCATTGAATGTGATATGAGTGAACATGAAAAATGTCATTGATTGTTCACTGAGCCAGGGACTTGGAGTCTTAATAAAGGAGTTATTTAATACAGGACTTAAGTGCCTGAGAGTATTTGGGAACAAGGCGGCAAGGAGAACACTTGAGTTTTCCCCAATAGAACATCCCCCATATCAAATAAAGGAGCTGCAGTGGCTCAAGGGGTTAAGACGCTGAACTGCAGGCTGTGGAAGGTCGGTAGTTCGGCAGTTCGAGACCCGAGTGTGCCGCATGACGGAGTGAGCTCCTGTCTCTAGTTCCATCTCCTGCCAACCTAGCAGTTCGAAAGCAAGAGATTGCAAGTAGATAAATAGGTACCGCTTTGGTGGGAAGGTAACAGCGTTCCGTGCGCCTTGGTGTCTAGTCATGCCGGCCACATGACCACGGAAACGTTTTCGGACAGCGCTGGCTCTTCGGCTTTGAAACGGAGATGAGCACCGCAACCCTAGAGTCGGATTCGACTGGCTTTCGAGCAAGGGAACCTTTACCTTTATATCAAATAAAGAAGCAAACTAGATATATCTTTCTGGTTCTCCCTTTTGTGAGAGCAAGCAAAGGAGCTGGAGGGGGGCTGGAGGGAAAGAAGAAGCCCGTGAGGGGTAATTGCTGCCCTGTCAATTAGTATGGATGGGCTGCAACACCTTCCACTAAACTTCCAATCTTGCAGACCCACAAGGAGATGGGGGTGGTGGTGTATGAGTGGTCACTACACCTCCTGACCAATGGAGAAACACCAGAGTCACCTGGCCTCCCACCTCTCTTTGCAACTACTCTGGCCTCCTAAAGCATCTGCCTCACTCTTTGAATTCTTAGAATTCTTCTAAAAGAGCATTCCAGTTCTCTCTTCGGAGACCTCCAAGAGCTGGTACAATGAATATCATCTGGTTCATTAATACGATATGAAAGAAATCAGACAGCTAGCAGCCTATGGATTAATATACAAAGAAAAATAAATGGTGATTTACACTGGCTTTTAAAAAAAAGTAGAAGTGCAAATGTGATTGTTAAAAAATCTATACCATGTTTTTAAAGAACAAGCGCACAGATTCTGCTGGGCTATCTCAAAGGTTTTTCTCTGTACATCACCTCTTGAAATTTAGCCTTCTCATTTCTCCACAGGTGAAACTCTTGACTCTAAGAACTGGTGTATGAGGTAAAGAGGTTAGTCCTTGTTACAAAGAATGTCTGAACAACAGATCAAAATGAAAACCATCACCCCTAGCCCTCCACCTACCCACATCATCAAACCTGTAAAACCCAAATTTATGAGACGTTCGGTAATTCTGTCCAGGTGATGTGATGCTGGGACATCCATTCATCAAGGCAAGTTTGACTTTCTGTAGTCCACGTTGCTCTTCATTGACCTACTCCGGGGCTCGTCCTTGTTGTATGTTGCTTTCTCCAAGTGTCTGTCTTTGCTGGCTATTTCGCCCCTTAGAATAACATGGTCATTCCACATTTTCTTTCCAGAGCCTAAAATATCTCCCCTCTATGAGCTCTTGAATCCTGTATCAAAACTGAGCATGATCAACCTCATCTAACCAAGAGGCAGGGCTTGCAGGGAAGTCTGGGTAGCCTCCGCTGCTTCCTGTGGAGAGGTCTGAACTGGGTCCGTTCCCACCTAGTACTCTCATGGGTGGAGGCACAGCTTGCCCACCTTGGCCTATGACTCCCAAGCTATTGTCAGGATAAACCAAGGTGGACATCAAGGACTGGTGACCAGGCAGCGCTTGCAAAGAGGCTGGTGACTGAGGGATGCCGTAGGGGCTGCTCGATCGGAGATCACGGTATTGTTCCTGAGCTGGAAGGCCACTGTGTTCCAAAGAGAAGCTGCCATTGGTCCCAGCTTGTCTCCCCAGAGCAGGGGACGTTTCACTAAGGTTGCTGTAAATACCATTGGAGTGGCTTATCTCGGAGATAGACGGTTCATCTGAAATGGGGAAAGGTGGTGATTTTATTGAGAGACACAAAAGGCACTTCTTTCATATCAGTTACCAGCCTAAAGCATTTGAACTACTTTTGGGACTATAGTCCTCCTTCCAGAAGACAGTAAGGCCACCAAATCATTCTAAAATCCACCTTCTCTGTGCATCATTTAATTTAACCCCTGTGAAGTCATCATCCGGGTGCATTTGTTGTCACCAGGGGTCATTTCGTAGAAAAAGAGGTGCAGGGGCTCATTAGCACAACTCATTAGCATAACTCATTTGCATATGCCACACCCCCTGACATCACCAGAAGTGTGTCAGAAGGCAACACCCACCACTCAGGCTCCACTGGACTGTTTTGGATTGCTAGCTATTGGGGGTGGGGGAACATGCAGATCTGTCCTCGCAGAGGAGGGAGAGCTTGTACCTGAATAAAACTTGGTCTTAAAGGTGCCACTGGACTGTTTTGGATTGCTAGCTATGGGGGGGCGGGACGTGCAGATCTGTCCTCGCAGAGGAGGGAGAGCTTTTACCTGAATAAAACTTTGTCTTAAAGGTTCCACTGGACTGTTTTGGATTGCTAGCTATGGGGGGTGGGGGAACATGCAGATCTGTCCTCGCAGAGGAGGGAGAGCTTGTACCTGAATAAAACTTGGTCTTAAAGGTGCCACTGGACTCTATTGGATTGCTAGCTAGTGGGGGGGGGGAAGTGCAGATCTGTCCTCGCAGAGGAGGGAGAGCTTGTCCCTGAATAAAACCTGGTCTTAAAGGTGCCACTGGACTGTTTTGGGGCAGGGGGGCTCTGCAGCTTACCTGGCTGCTTCTTGCTCTGACTGAGGGCTGCTGGGAGCAGGGGGCGGGGCTTGTTGTATGTGCCCGTTCCCTGGGCTCTTTACTGCCCGAGCTCCGCTCCAGTGCGCTCCGGCAGGAAATGGCCCCCGGTTGTCACCCATCCCTTGTTCCTTTGTCTCTCCTGTGTCTTCACCCACCCATTTCTTTGTTTTGTTCTCATTCCTTCCTCTCCATTCTTTAAAAAAACTATCTCACCTTTGTAGAAAGTCTTTGGGAAACTACCCCCACACACACACTTTGAAGTACTATAGCAATAATCTAATAGTGAAGTCCAGATATCTTTGGATAAAATGGTGATTGGAACTGTGAATGGGCAAGACATGTTTCTACAAACCTGAAAAGGGTTTGTAGGTTTGCAGGAAAAAAGGTGAAATCTAAAAAAGTTACACTAGGCAGTTTTTAAAAAAATCAAAAATGATAAAAGGAAGGCCTGTAGCTTTAAGAAGGATTTCCTCGGTGGCTGTTGCTAGGCAACCACAGCATTCCAAGCTTGGTTCTGTCAGTAAATGGAGGGGGGGCAGGGCCCTTTCCAGCCCTAATTTAGCATTTGAAGGAGAACTCATTGGGGCCAGCCAGGCCTGGCTAGATTTGGCCAGCTCCAGGCTGGGGAATCCTTGGAGATGTTGTAGAAGAGTCTGAGGGGGACAAGGTTGGGGGAGAGGAGAGGACTCAGCTGGATGAAGCAGAAACGTAAGATGATGGGGGAGCAGGAGAGGGTGCCAGCCATGGTGGGAAACCACCGCTGTCCTCAACCAAAAGCCTGGCAGAACATCTCTGCCTTACAGGTCCTGTGGGATTGCATCAAGTCCTGCGGGGCCCTGGTGGTATTTGGCTAAGAGTTCCATCAGGTTGGAGTCATGTGTGCCATCTGTGGCGTTCCCATCAGGACTCACATCAGTTGGAGTTTCCAGATCAGTCTCAAGGGCAGGCCAAAATAAAGTGAGTTACAGTAGTCTAGCCTGGAGGTGACAGTTGCATGGATTACTGTGGCCAGGTCAGGGTGCGACAAGGAAGGGGCTAATTGCTGTGCTTGGCGTAGGTGGGAAAATGCCCGCTTGGCAATATTCGTGACCTGGGCCTCCATAGTTAAAGAGGTGTCCAGGACCATGCCCAAACTCTTGATGGATTGTGCCAGTGTTAATGATGCCCCATCAAGAGTGGAAAGTCTGTGCCCCGATCCTGAGGCTCCCCCCCCCCAGCCACAGAACTTCCATCTTTGTTGGATTCAGTCTCAGCCTACTCTTTCTTAACCATCCCACCACTTACCCCTGTATCTGTCTCATCCTGGCCTGGTCCCTGTAATCCATGCAACGGTCACCTCCGGGTGAGATTACAGCAACCTGTTCTATGTGGGCCTACCCTTGAGGCTGACCCAGAAACTCCAGCTGGCACAGAACACAGGGGCATGGGTCCTCACAGGGACATTGTGCACAGCACATATCCATCCTGTGCTGTGTGAGCTGCACTGGCTTCTGGTGGAGTACCAGATCAGGTTCAAGGTTTTGGTATTGAAACCTCAAGGCCCTTAACCATCAGGGACCTATGTACCTTCGGGGCCTCCTCTCCTGGTACAACCCCCAAACAGCGCTGCTGATCAAAATCTATCACTGTCCTCGACCAACCTGGTGGAACACTCTGCCAAACAAACTCCGTGCCCTGCGGGACCTGTGACAGTTCTGAAGGGCCTGCAAGGCGTTTGGTTAAAAACAGCAACAGTTCCATTCTGACACTCTCACCCCCCCTCCCCTCCTGTGAGAGAGCGGCATCATTGGTCCTTTAAGCTATCTCTAGCTGTGTTTTTGTTTGCTGTTGATTTTAATCTGATTTTAATTGATGTTTTATTACTGTGTTGTGCACGGTTCTGAACCAGGTTTACTGAGGGAGGGTGGTTGAAGAGTCTAATTAATTAATTAATCGAATAAATTAAACAAGTAAGTAAACACAGTAGATCAAGAGGTAGCTGTCCAGGGTATTGAAGTGCATGTTTAAAGCTGCCTGCACTCCATCCATCCCTCTCTCCATCTATTTTGGCTTGCGGTCAAGTCCAGAATTCTGGAGGTAAGTTCTTGCAGCTCACTTGATCTATAACTTCAACAGGGAAAGAACATATCAACATCTGTCCAGGAGTCACACTGACTTGTGAACAGAGAGCTTCTTCCTTGCAGGACAATAGTTTCACACAAAATTTTAGAAAAGGGCTTTTTAGATGTTTGTGAGATATCCTGTGATCTACAAGTTTCAAAAGTGGCCTCAGGTTGCATTTTTTCATGAGGAATGTGGTCCTTAGAGTCCATGTTTTTAATTTTAAACATTTTTAATTAAAGTTGTTGCAATTTCTGGATAAAAATATTAGTAGCCCATGAGAGTCCCACAAAAAAAAAGTACAGAGCAGATGAGTTTACTGCTTTACTGAAATACTCCAAATTGAAAACAGGACAGGTGATCATTTGGTTACTTGGAGCTCTCTTGATCTTTAATTTTAATTTTAAATTAACTCATACACTTAACAGTCTGCTGCTCAAAATCTCACCTCCAGCACTCTGAATATAATTGGGAAATTACACCAAACAACTGTCCTCAGACTCTCAGAATTTGAAATGCAACAAAACAAAAAATTATTTCCCTCTCAAATCCCATATTTATTGTCAAATTTAACATGTCACAAAAATGCTATAGTCCTAATCTTCAGCAGTAATTGGCTGTTTGTTTTAGCCTCCGATGTTTTGTTTTGGAGAAGCACAAATCCAGAGAGCAGTAGCACACTGAATGTTTACCCATGTGGCAACCAACCCATACGATCAGCATTGTGCTACACTGCCTATCAGATGTGTGACCTACCTATACAACCCCACATTCCAAACAGGATTCAAGATACAGATGCAAAGGTAGCAGCAAAGACTGCGATGCACTATCTAAAGTGACGTGTTTCACAGAGGTCTGTTTGCAGATGCATTTGGTGACTCTCAGATCCACTGCAACCACTGATGTATCTTCAAGGATAAATCTCACGGGGCAGTAGTCAAATCAGTGCTGGGGGAAGGTTGCTGGGGGAAGATTGCATCAGCAGCAGATTTGTGTTTTAAAACATAAATTAACCACTGGGGTAGTGATGACAGTCATTGCTCTGATTACTAGCAGATTTATCAGCTGCCAGATGGAAACTCTACCAACAATATGTCCCAATTCATTTTGTTCACCAGCTGGGTTCTTATACCTGTGAAGGAGACCTCAGCATCACTGTCTGGACCTTCTTCCTGGATGCTTTCCTTGTCCGATTTGGAGTTCCCTCTTGAGCGCTTCATGTTTCTGAAGTACTGTCCCCATCTCTGTCTCCCAGCATCTTTCTTTAAGCGTTTTTCTTTGGCCCTTCTGTTCTGGAACCAAACCTGGGGAAAAAATAATAATACAAAGATGAGTTTTAATGTGCAACATTTAATTGCATATCAGCGTGTTTGTTATATCTGTTGAAGTCATGTGGCAATTTTAGAAAGAGTGCTCTCTCTCTCTCTCTCTCTCTCAGAAGTGCACACTAAAGTCCATAAAGTTTCAGGCAGAAGAGGACATTTGCAAACTTAGATTGTGTGCTAAATTTCAGCTTCCTTCCTTCCTTCCTTCCTTCCTTCCTTCCTTCCTTCCTTCCTTCCTTCCTTCCTTCCTTCCTTCCTTCCTTCCTTCCTTCCTACATTTTTTCCTTTGTGGAATTCAAGGTATCTTACAATATAAATTGGCAAAAATTGAGCTATGAATGGAAGGGGCAATGCGGAGAGCTCCTAGCCAGTGAGAGCGAGTGAGGTGCCATGCTTAGACTATTGGACCAGGACTGGGCAGGCCACCGTTCAAATCCCCTCATGGCCATGCAGCTCATCAGGAGACTTGCAACCAGACCTCCTTCACAGGACTGATGTGTCGCTCAAATGGAAGAGGAGCTCACTGTATGCCACCATGGGCTTCTGAAAAGGGGTGAGGATAAAAATAATTGACAGACAAATATTGCATCTTTAAACAAAATCTGAAAACATTACTAGCCCTCAAAAATTGTAATAACCTTCATACACATACCCCTGCAAACACACACCCATTAATCATTTGTGGGAGACAGAACTAATTTTGTAAAGCTTTCCCAAAGCTTTTGTAAAGCTTTCTGGAGACAATTCTTACCAAACAGAGGTGCAGAAATTTACAAATGTTAAGTTGTGCTTCTACATGTGTACTGAAGGACACCCATATTTCTCATATAACTTTAGAGCAAACTAAAAATCCACAATATTCAAGTCCAGTAGCACCTAGGAGACACACAAGATTTGGAGGGGTATAAGCTTTCGAGAGTCAATACTGCCTTCATCAATTAGGTGCTATTGGACTCAAAGTTAGCTATTCTACTGTAGATCAATACAGCTACCCTCTGAAAGGTCACATCTGAGTTTAAGACATTTCGGAGAGGAAATGCACAACATTTAGAGTTTCACCCTTCAAAATCTCTTTAAAGTGCATGCGCCTATTGACTGAATGGTGGATGAGACCTTCTGCAGATGCTTCTCTGTCATCTTCTCTACCCGTCTATAATTTACCTGCACAACCCGCATATCCAGGCCTGTCTCAGAAGAGAGCTGCTCTCTCACATGCCGAGCTGGTTTGGGTGAGTTGTTGTAAGCATTTTTCAAGGTTTCCAATTGTTTGGCTGTGATTGTCGTGCGGGGTCTCTTTGCTGTGGATTCAGCCTCTGCAAACATTCCCAAGAAACAAGGCAGAGAAGTTCAAAAGCTCCAAGACGATGACTAGGAAGGCAGGTTCTAAGGCTGCCCTCCAACAAGCAACTGTTCATAGCTTTCCAACCAAAGAAAAAACAAAAATTAATATTCTGGTATCTTTTGATAACATTTAGATTGTAGCTGAAATCCATTGATCAATACTTTATTTTATTATTCATTCATTCATTCATTCATTCATTCATTCATTCATTCAATGTATATCCCATACTCCCTGCTGCATTGTTTGGCAGCCATGTCTCTCCTGGCATTTATTTCTGTTCCAAGACGTTTCCCGTCTCAGGCAGGATCTGCACCTGCACAGCTGCAGCCATCATAGTGTGTGAGTGACCCTGAACACAGCCAGAAACTGCAGGGTCCATTCCTGTATATGAAAAACACAGTGTGATCTAAGCACACTTTCTTCAGAGATGGACCTCGTTCACATGACAGTAGAAAAGAACAGGAGTCCAGTAGCCCCTTAAAGGCCAACAAAATTTGCGGCAGGGTAGCAGCTTTCTGAAGAAGTGAGCCGTGACTCACGAGAGCTCCTCCCCTGCCACAATTTTTAAAAATCTTTAAGGTGCTCCTGGACTCTTGTTCCTTTCTACTGCAACAGACCGACTAACACAGCCACCCGTCTTGATCTAGTTCATGTAAAATACGTAAAGGTGTTGGGTATTGCATGTTGAAAAACACTCAGTGTGTGTGTATGGGGTTAAATGTCTGTTTTGTTGTCACAGGAAATCACCTGCCTTTGTGTTAGCCAATGTTAGTTTAGATCTACAAGCCCGCGAAAAGCATCCCTGTTTTGAGAGTTTGTTTGGGAGCAAAGTGTTAGTTTCTTTGCATTTTATGGCCCCTCTTCCCCTCTTTGTTCTGTTTGAAGAAGAAGCATGTAAGAGTGGCCATTGCAGTCTCTTCTAGTCTGTCCTTTGTAGAGTGAAGATGTAGCTTATATAGCTCTGTTGTTATTTTCTCCCAGTTACCCTTCCCTATGGTAGAATTGTAGTAAAACCTTTATATTTTTAAACACACATGGACTCTGAGTCTGATTATTGAACTCTGGCATCACTAAGCTGTTTTTAACTCTGCTGAATTTTATAAAAACTCCAACAAAATTGGTTATGGGGTCTTTTCCAGTAGGTGCTTCAAGATCAAGTCACATCAGTTTACATATCATTACCATTATGCTCATTGTTCTTTATTTGCCAGAGCAAACATTTTCATGTTTATAATAATATAGCTTGATCTTTAAAATCAACCCAGAACAATAAGACTGGGTAGGATGGCCCGGGCTGGTCTCATCTCGCCAGATCTCAGAAGCTCAGCAGGGTCCGACCTGGTCAGTATTTGCTAGGGGAGACCACCAAGACCGCCCAAAGTTGTTGCCTAGAGGCAGACGATGGCAAACCCCTTGGAAGGCCCACACTGGGTCACCGTAAGTCAGGTGAGACCGGGGTTTCCACCACCACAAGATTTCTGTAGCAACACTGCTAGCCACAGTCTTCTCATGTATAATGAGATAATGTATAATAATGTAGAACCTCATACATAAAATAAAGCAAAAAGAGAGAAAGATTAAACTGTTGATATGAATACTAAACTAAAACAGGAATCACTTGAGAAATGTTTGCACAAAGGTTATTGTACTACTTCTGTCGGTTCTGGAATAAAAATGTTAGTCATATGACAAGCAGGATAGAAAAGCTTTAAATAAATAAATGTATTATGTATTGCTTACACAGTTCTTAAAAGACACAAATGTATTTTTATTTTAGAACGTTTATACCCCACTCTTCCAAAGTTCAGAGCCAGTTGCAACATTGCAATTAAAGATATTCTAATATTTTTACACTAAAAACTCACCATCTCCAACAAATTTATTTTCAAAAAACTATCATATTCATTTCAACAGCAATATAACAACTGTGGAGTGCTTCGAACACTCTGTAGTACCACATGAGTAGTACTTGTAACCAGCCAGTAGAATGGGAACTATCCCACCAATCCACAACGAGGTTGGTGGGCACAGGATAGAGGGCCTTTTCAGGGTTAGCCCCACAGTTATGGAACAGCCTCCTCCTCACTGTTCAACTTCAGGAGACAGCAGGAGATAGTTTTATTTAGGATTGATTCAGTTTTCATTTATCGGCAGGCCTAATTGGAGTTTTTAAATTGTGACTTTTGGGGGATTTTCATAATATGTTATTTGATTTACAGTGTTTTATTGTGTCTTTTGTATTTCTATTGGATGCCGCCTCAAGCTCCACAAGGGAGAAGGGCAACTAATAAATGCTTTAAATATATAAATAATGTTTTAAAAGCCTACCAAACAGACGGTCTGATTCAGTATAAGGAAGGTTCCTAAGGTAACCCTGTGACATGGGGGTCAAGATGACAGCAACCCGCCTGTGCCCACTACGGGGAGACGCCACCCTCCCACCGCCCGGAGCCCGAAAGGGGCCCTTGGGGGCATCGCCACGGCCCGCCCGCCCACCTCGTTGCTTGGCAGTCTCGTAGTCGGCCTTGCAGACCAGCCGGCTGTCTTCCATCAGGTAGAACTCATCCCCGGTGGCCAGCTGCCGCTTGCACACGACGCAGGAGAAGCAGTGGAGGTGGTAGACGAAGTCCTGGGCCCGCCGGACCACCTGCGTGGGGGGGATGCCCTGCTGGCAAGCCGCACACTTGGTCCCGAACCGCCTGGGGGCCGGAGAAGGAGGAGGAGGAGGAGAGCGGTCAGGTCAGGGCGCCTTCCTCTCCTTCAAGGGAGGATCACTCCCACTCTCTGGTGGGTGTCGCCGGGGAAAAGGAGGGACTGCAACAGAAGCCTTTCCAAATGCACGGCTCTTTCCCGGCCCGCCGTTGGATTTCGCCTCTACGGAAGAGCCGGGGTGGCCCTTCTTTCCCCGGCAGGTCCCTGTCCCCCCCCCTCCCCACCCCCTTCAGGGCCTGAAACCACCACGAGGGCAGCGGGGAGACCCCCGGCCCAGGGGCGGCAGAGGCGCCAATCGGCCAGCCCCA